TCACATGGTATGGAATATCCCTTTGGCCAGTTTGGGTCAGCTGTCCTGGCTGTGCCCCCTCCCAGCTTCTTGTGCACCTCCTCGCTGGCAGAGTATGGGAAGCTGAAGAGTCCTTGACTTAGTATAAACACTGCTTAGCAATGGCTAAAACATCAGTGATATCACAATAATAATATTATAATATAATAATATAATAATGTAATATCACATTATTCTCATACTAAATCCAAAACACTGCACTATGCCAGCTGCTAGGAAGAAAATTAACTCTATCCCAGCTGAAACCAGAACACTAGTCCACTGGGCTACATGGCACTCAGAGCTCTGCACTCTGGTCGGGCCTTGGAGCGTGACTGTGCTATAAAATAGCAGCAATAACACTAAGCTCTGCTCCGGGCAGTTTGGGTTTTATCAGCAGAGCACTGTAAACATATGTTTTTAAAACAAAAACAAAGCCACTCTTTCTGATGCATGTCTCCAACTGTTTTACCTTACTACAGGAAGTTAGTGAAGAGTTGCCTGTTTGATTTTTAATATCAATCCTATTTCAGTTGTATCTACAGCATGGCATCAGTATTAAATAGTGGCATACACAGTTACGGTGTATAACGTATGCATAACATACATGGTTATGCAAAATGGCAGCCCTCTAAAAGCTTCTTTCTTTCTGTTGCACAAGACTTTAAATATGCTCAGCTAGCACCTGCCATGGCGTGCAGCTGGTTTGTGTCGATCCACGCTAAGCCACGCTGCAGTGAATTTGCGCTATCTAACTTTAGTGTCCCCAGTGTTGCCACTCTACGGATGCTCCTTAGGCTGGCCTAACTACTCAGTTACAAAAACTACTCCTGTCCCTAGGGAATATTTCAAGGCAGCTCCCCAAACTAGTCTGTCTCCTCCATGGGTCACACAAAGCTCTGCTGAGGGAGGAACAGCCCGTTTGATTCTCCCTGGCTGTGTCCTTTGGAGGAGATGTGAATGGCTTGCATGGCCTCAGCCCAAAGATAACATCTGCTGGAGGGAGCACTCTGGCACCCTGTGAAGAAGAGAGGAGGCCGCTGGCTGCCTGAGGATGCCTTCATGGTTTATTCCTTGCGTGAAACTTAAGACAACAACAAAAAAAACCCCACAAACAAACAAACAAAAAAGGCTGGGAAAGGTGGAAAGACGCTTTCTGTGCCGGAGGTGGGTAGAGACAGCCCTCCCCAGCAGAGGCAGGTGGTTTGCGGTTGCTTGCTGCCCACTACGCAGCATTTAAGCTGAGGCTTTTCTTGCTTGAAGAAGAAAGGCAGGACTGGCTGAACCAGTCCCTCTCCCTCTTTGTGGTCTGTGCAATCATGTATTTGCAGGCTGGCAGCCCAAGCTCTCTTGGCTGCAGAGCCAGCGTGTGTGTAGGGGGAAGATAGTGGCATTAACTCAGGGGGTATGGGGAAAGCATCTTCACAATAAATTATTTATCAGACAGCTCCTTCTCCAGCTCTCGTCTGGTTTTAGGTCGCGTCCAATCTGCTGGCTGCGCAGTTGGGAGCCACTTCTTTCCAGGCTGTGGACAGCCATCCAGCTGGCTGGGGATGTGCTCCCAGACAGAAGTTTCCCGTTGCCTCTGCTTCCTTCCCCTTTCCTCAGTGCTGACGGGGTCCTTCCACTTTCAAACATTCGATGTCCACAGCCGAGCTGTTAACTTAGCACTGAAGAAGTCAGATAGATATGGCACTGACATAGATTTAGTTTTATTGCTGATTATTCCATGTTTTCATTCAAAGACAGGAATCCTGAATTTTAATAAGAAGGATTTTGCTCTATCTTATCAGAGAAATGAAAAAAAATCCCCCCAAAATTTTCTACACAACTTTTGACTGAAACATTTGATAGCTTGCTGCCCCATTGCCCACCAAAACATTTCAGTGATGCAAGGCCCTTCTGAGCAGAAGTGAGGCAGGATGAGAGATGGTCTCACACGCTTACATTACAACTAGTTCTCCATCACCTTTCTCTTTATTTGTAGTGCTTAGTAAAGCACTCTGAACATTTAGAATTTTAGATATATAAAAATAAAATAAAAATGCACCCAGAAAACCTCAATCTCTGTTGGAAAAGAAACTTATCCAAGCTCCATGTTTATAAGAGAATGTTTTACTCAAAGACCCTGTGATTTTTTTGTAGATACCTTTGTATTTTCATTTTGTCCTAACTCTCCTTTGACTCCGTCTTCTGCAGGTCATGAAAACGTACCACATGTATCATGCAGAGAGCATCAGTGCAGAAAGCAAACTGAAGGAGGCAGAGAAGCAAGAAGAAAAACAGATTGGGAGGTCAGGAGACCCTGTTTTTCATATTCGACTAGAAGAAAGGCACCAGAGACGGAGCTCTGTGAAAAAGATTGAAAAAATGAAAGAAAAAGTAAATAGTCCTTTTATTTATCTTCATTTGAAGTAAATTCAGTGCATTTCTGACATTCTTTAGTATGATACTAGACAGAGAAGTCCAGCTGGGAAATAAAATTAAACAAGGTACACATAACAAACTAGCAGTGGGTTATAGATAACTTGACTTAATTGCAGTTCAGAGAGGGGAATACTTTAGTCCTAGTATAATTCTTTCTATATGGTTTGTCACATTTGAAACAAAATACTAAGTTATCACTTTGTATTACATTTGTTATATGCATAACAGGCTGGCAACTAAGATTCATTCTTGTTAATAGGAATGTGTGCTTGAATTGTTACCGTATTTGCTACATACCAAAAATGAAGTAATCCAAATACATTAACAGACAATCTTTTTCCTAGCGTCAAGCAAAATATTCTGAAAACAAGCTGAAATCTATTAAGGCCCGTAATGAATACCTGCTCACCCTTGAAGCAACCAATGCTTCTGTTTTCAAGTATTATATTCATGACCTTTCGGATTTAATTGACGTAAGTATTGGCACATTTGTGTTTATGTTTATTCTGTTCAGGATTAATACTTTTCATTTTCAAAGGCAGTGCGTTAGTCATATGGGTTGCCTACAATATGCTTATCATTTATAATATTGTATGGTATAATCAGCAGATTTTCCCCTCAGCTTTATATTTCACAAAGTGCCAATAACATGCTGAACCTGTTCCTTTAAAGTTAGAACATTATGTTTTCTCCCCATGTGGCAAGAGAAAATATGATAGGAATAACACAAAAAAGGTAGACATTTCCATTTTGTACTATAAAAGGATTTCTGGGGTACAAATATTTTTTACAACATAAGCTTCTTAAGTGGGCATCTAATAATGGTATTTTAACTCAAAAGAAGGCATTTCCTCTGTGTCATGAAAGTTTCATTCATTTAGTCATTGAATCAAATATACACTGCTTCTTATTCTTATTTCATGTAGTTTGCAGAACAGACACAATCAATCCTGTACTCTGTACTCTCAACAGAATTGTTACTGATTTTCATTAAGTTATTCCTCTGAGAACATCCTAGGAGAATGAGGTTGTACACTGATGTTGACTTGTACTAGCATGTGGTCTCCAGAACCTGTATTATTGACATTTTTAAATGATATGGAGGGAGGATCCTGCACTCTATCATGTCCCACTCTCTTCGTAAGCTGACCATGTATTTGATAGAGAAAATTTGGAGGCGGCAAACACAAGCTCAAGAATATTAATTCACTAGCAATGTAGTGTTAAATAAGTCAGTGGGTACACCTCTGTGGCCCATATGAAATGCTCGATATTTGGATATGCTTTCTACTGCAATAGCATTTGTTATTTACAATAGTAAATAACTTTCACATACAGTAATTTCTGGTGGGAAGTTCATCACAAAGATAAGCCAGGTAAGCTCTGGTTTGTAATACAGTATAAATTAATGCAGCATTTGTCAAGAGGTTTCTCCTTTCTACTGTCTGGAGAAGCAAAGCTTGATAGAGAAGGGGAAAAATGCCTTCTTGAGGTGAATGGACTAAAATAGCTGCATATATGTGTTTTATTGTATGTTTTCTAAATACTGAGAGTCAGTTTTCTTTGACATTTCTGTTTTCCTGTAATTTATAAAATATTGCCTGATTTTGTTATAACTTTTTCCTTTTCCCTTTCAACTTTTTTCCCTCCAAATGGTTTTGCTCCTTTTTTTTCTTGCTTCTTTCTTATAAGAGATGGAGATGTATCTTTTCTGTGTTTTCAGTATTTCTTGCTGTCTCTAGCTCAACATGTCTTTTCTTCCTCTTTCCTACTCACTGTTGCACGTCTTCTCTCTTCTGATATCTTCTGGTTTATTCTGCTCTATATTGTCCCTATCTAATCTACACCCATGCACCTGCACATCCTGCTCCACCCACCTGGCCTGCCCAGGCGATGAAAACATTTATCAGGATCCTGACAGACAGATGATCAGGGCAGAAAACTAAGGACAAGCAGCATACCTGGTAGAGTAGCACCCAAGTGAGAAGGTGTCCCTACCTCCTGGATGATTTTCCTGATACTGCTTAAAGAACGATGGATTTTTAGCTTCTAGTTAGGGCATGTCTGATAAATGTGAACTTTATGAGTTCTTCCTGTCTGCTGGAAGGAAGGAAAGGTCCCTTTCCCTCTGTTCCTAGCACTCCCACCCCTTCAGAGGTTGGAGAGATGCTAATTTTGTCTTCTTTCCTGCCTTCTCTTTCGGAGTTCACATTTCCCAGGGAATGTCTCCAGTGCATGTTTCTGCTTGGTCAAAACTTTCTCAAGTTGGAAAATGCACCTGATTTTTACCCATTTCATTGATGTCCACAGAGGTTGCCATAGCAGTGAAAGCTGAGGGGAGGAACCACGGGCCTGGAGCTTCACAAAGAATTGCGAGGAGAAGCAAAGTGAAGCTCTCTCTGCGTATATATACAAAGACAACACTCTTTGGAGTTATTGTTTGAGAAGATATTTATACAACCATGAAGACTAGAGTTTTCTAACTGCTAGTTTTTAATAGAAATATACATTCTACAGTATTTAGTAATGCAGGAAAACGATACCTACTTTGCACAGCTTTTTCCAAGCCGTGGACCAACGTAGACAATAACATTCTTTTGACAAAATGGCTTTAGAAATGACTCTTCCCTAAGGAATTTAAATGGAAAGTCTAGCTGCCCTTTGCATCACTGTTTTGTAAGAGTAGGCTGTAAACATGTGCAACCAGAATTTGCTTCAGAGCCAATTTAATCCGATTGTGAGCTTGTTTAAATGAAGTGTCTTTCAGACATTTGTATTTCATCAGAATATGCTGTGAAAGCATTGGTATCTAGACAGAGTGTTTACTACTTGACAAAGGAAACACTTTTTGTAAATGCAAGAGTCTTGGCAAGAATTTGGGGTTATATCATTGGAATGTGAGACATGCTTCCCACTGGCCATATGTTGCAACAGTCCAGGCTGTCTCATTCTGTAAATCTATTAATGTAATGGTACGATTCGGATTTTTCAGAGCAGTGGTGGCGATTTCATTCTTTGCCCTCTCTACTTTGTCCCCATCTGCCTGCCTGCCTTTCTCTGCTTGCCTGAGCTCTCTCTTTGCCTGTACAGAAGGGGATTACTTCTCCTTTATGTCTGAATTCTGGTTAACATGGAAGGGATTTAGACCTCCCCAAGCTGTTGGTGTTGCCCATAAATGAAACAATGTTTTCCTACATTACTGAAAAATATGTCTGATAAAAATTGGATAAATATATGTAGGAATGCAGTGAACTCTTCAATATATATATTTTTTGTAACAAGATTGGGGAGGGTTATGGGATTTTTTTTTTTACAAAAAAATCATATTTTTTTCATTTGGATTCCACTGCAACTTGATTTGTGAGGCTTATATGGAAAATCCTAAATTGCAGTTCCTCAGCTGAACTCGGTCTGAACTGTTCAACTCCTTCATTTCATTAACAAAACTCAGAGCTTCTGACTTAAAATGGTGATGTGTTGTTCATCTTAAGCTCTTGTGATAAAAGCAAGATAAAAATATTGCTGGAGTCTTAGCTGGATGTTTTAATGCATTTAGCAAGCTGAGGGTTGGGACCAGCATTTGCAAAGAAGTAGAGGGATAAACAGGATTTGATATGCACAGTATATTTCTGTCCTCTGCATATTCTGCTAGAGGAATTTGAATTTTCCGTTGAATATTTCTTCTCTGCTGACTATATAGTAGGATCTAGTTCAAGTGGAGGACATGACTAGTTTTTTTCTTTATTTGTATTATGTAAAAAATAGCAAAGATTACTTTTTAGCTGAATTAAATAAGCTTTATCCATTATGTAGAATTTTTTTTTTTTAAGATTGGGTTTCAGAGGAGCAACTGTCCGTGTGGCACATACTACTGCTCATTTACTTGAAGATTTCCATGTAATTGAGTTTATTAGATTTATCTGGGTATGAGAGGAAGGTAGGGACCTTTTTTCAGACTTACCATGCACTCATGATCTGAAGGTAAAAGCTAGGAAATAGTGATCAGAACAATTTGACTGTAGTTCTGCTGCTAGAATAAATAAAATATTCATGTGTTGGTCTTTCTTAGAATGGAGTTTCTGAATCTCTAATTGCAGTCTGCATGCTTTGGATGGTTAGGAAGTTAGGGAACATTTAGTATTATGAACTTCATTTATTCTGTAAAGGTTCTTTGTTAATCATTCATAGAACCAAGTTTAAAACTAGGCTAGAGTGTGTGCAGCTCACAATCTTTATTACATAAGTTCTCATAAATATGATATGTACAGCCAGATCCCTTTGATTTGAATGTTGATGTCTGTGTAACAGGACGATTAGAAAGCGACTTATTCAGAGGTTAAGACTTTTTTTATTAATTTCTCACTCCATTGGCATTAGAATTTTATTATTATTCCTGAAATGAAATGAAGAGCAGCTTGCTTGTTTGGTTGAAGCTCTGTGCTAAGCGCTGCAGTTTGTTTTGTTCAAGCCTAAATATACTCTGGGGAGCAATAAAGACAGTAAATGCTCTTGAGACAGCTTCAGATTTAATTCCAAATAAGAATAAAATGCAAATTACAAAATTAATTTTTCACACATATCCCAAATGCATCACTCATCTCCCTCCACTTTGCCCAAACAAAAGTCTTTATGAATCCAGAAATGCAATAAAACTCATAGTCTATGACTTCATTCTCTCATTTCTCATCTTCATGTCTTGCTGCACCAACTGACGTCTCATCTCTCTAGCCCATGGATTGATAGCAGATCTCATTAGCCATCCAGGCTGTAGCCTTGGTGTGCTGATTAGTGAGCCTCAAAGATTCATTTTTATTTTGGCTAACAGTGTGGTTGCTCACTTGAACTTTCCAAATCTTTCTACAAATCTACAGGTTTTTCCTGAAATTCATGTGTACATACCTGCATGTGTGTGTGTGTATCTGCATACTTATGTACTTTTTTTGCAACATCGGAAAGGTTGGTGATTTTTTTTCCAAGTGTGGTCAGACAGGATGTGGTGGGAGCAGCAGTTTAGTGGCAGTACCTTAAATTTGTAGTCTTAGTAATGAACAAATACCCAAAGTGCCATCTCCATTATAGAAAACTGTCTTTCTAAACCATCACTAGTACTAGCAGATTAAAACAGTACTCTTCTTTCTGAGTAGCCATGAGTTGATATTGTGACAGAGCCATTCCCCAGTTAAAATTATCTTTGTCTCCAAATTTTGGAGGAAGTGAACTATGGTCTGGCAGAAGTAAGAGTTGTGATGTCCGAGTGTTTATTTTTGCTTTTAAAAAATAACTTTACTCATACAAATTCTATTTTTACTTAGATCATTGAAGCAAAATTCCAAATTCAGTCATTTTAAATTCCATTCAAAGAGCTACTAGTGATAAGGCACTAGTTCAGGTTCTGGATTTAGTTCTTGTTTGCTCTGCTGGCATTGGCATTGCAAGAAAATGCCTTAGTCTGGCAGGATATTGTGCTTCACTTCAAGAATCCTTCTTGGCTGAGAGGCTGTATTTGTTACCCTGTTCAGCTGTCATCACTTGCAAAAGATGACCATGGTGATAGTTACTGAGGTAGATTAAGGGTTAAAGAATGAAATTCTTGGTACTGTCACAGCATAAAGGCTGCATTCTTATATTCCAACTTGCAAAAAAGCTGCATCAGAAACCCACACAGCTCTAATTGTAAATCAATAAGCTTTCTATTAATACTCAGATTAATCCTCTAGAGCCAAAATTCAGGCTCTAGATGCCTGTAGTTTTATAATACATGGATAGTTGGCCATGCTAAACCTGGCATTGCCCTCTATTTCTCATTTCCTCTCAGTTTAATCTTCCGTGAGGTCTCTCTGAAACTAATGCACATGAAATAAAACGGCTGTCCTGATCCACTTTCTTATCAGCACTTTTAGTCTGTCTTTTTCATCCAAGGTAGTGAATTAAATATGAGATCTGATTTGACACAGAACAAGAGAAAAACACCAAGAGACTTTTCCTTGTAGAAACAATATTTTTTAGGCTGGAGGTCTTTGAAATATGGATGTGCTTTAGTATAAAAGTTGAGTGGCTGTTTTAGTAAGTGTAACACAAATTTCCATTCTATAAATGCAAAAGAGAGAGATTAACCTATGTGTGTTTGATTGAACGTGACATCTTTTTACCATTTTCTTTAAATGGTTCAGCAACTGGTTTTTGGAGAGCCACTGTCCCATCTGCAGTAACTACCTAGAGTACTCGCTAGGACTGAAAGCTTAGTCTTTCTGGAAGTTTTGTTGTGAATAAAACAGCCCTCTGTTGTCAGATTTCAGAGAGCAGTTTGATCACTAGTCATTAGTGCACCTAAGGCAAGGTGTGAGGGGTTTCTGTCTCTTCTACACACAGGTTTAGGTATGGTAAATAGGTTGAAAACTCTTTCCATGCAGTGTGTGCATCTGTATGTCTATCTGTCTGTCTCCCTCTCTCCCTTTTTCTCTCCTTTTTCAAATAAGTAAGGGGAAGGGGAGGGGAACATGATCCCATGAGTCCTAAGGGTTTGTAATAGCTGTGACGGAGGTATGCATATAAACGTAGTCTACAGTGGACTGAATTCAAATTGCTTCTTTACCCAACTGCATCACTTAACTTGCGCGTCCTGCAGGGAAGGATGATTTTAAACTGCGGGTGGGCACCCAGGATGGGTGGCTGGGGGCTGAGGGATGCCCTAAAGCAGCGTGCTCCCTGACTGCCCTAGCCAGGCATTGGCCTCTGGCTGGAACAAATCTCTCCTGTTCGAATAAAGAACATTGCTTTGTATGCAACTGTTAGCAGACTGACGTGCCACTGTTGTGGTGACAGAGAGGTTTGCGATGCATCTGCCATTACCTGGAAGCTCACTGAGCAGAAGCTGAGAATATTGTTTACTGTGTAATGTGGGGGAAAAGTAAGGAAACAATCGCTTGATACGCTACTGCTGTGACATTTTAAAAATATATTCAGCTGTTCCTCTAAAATATTAACCAATCATGAATAATGCAAACCGAGGATGTTTAAAATTCAAGAACAAACACAACTTTATGCTCTACCAATTAGGTTTCAATTACATTCCAGTGTTATTCTCACCCCTAGAAAAAAAGACATAAATTATGACTTTCTGCATTTAGTAACATGATGTACATTGCTGGGTCTGTCTGAGCATGGGAAGAGAGGTGTTTACAGTAAATACATTTTCATTTTCACCATTGGGGAAAGGATGTTAAACCATTCTCCTTGCAACAAAAAGCATCTTAGGTGGGTCACGAATACAAGAGAGAGTTGTGGGGTTTTTTGTTTGGGCACAGACATGGTGAGCAGGAATTGCTTCATTGGTGCTAGCATTGACTTAAATGGTGGAGTTATATCAGGATGGGTTTAAATAGATGATCTGAGGCTTACATATGACAATAATACTGAAAAGCCCACTTTTGTGTGGAGTCCCAGACCTTTTCTATGTAAATACAGTAACTGCACGTCTGTATCTGATAAACAAGTGCAAACATGCTGCCATACTTGTATGTTTGGTATGATCTCTTTTCTAAAACTGTCCTTTCATCTTTGCAATAGAATGAGGATACTAAATACTTACTGTCTTGACCCCAGTATTGTATTTTCATTTACAAGATATTTTGTAAAATACTTCGAAGACAGAAGAATTTCAGGACAGAAAATTTTAGTGATAATTTGTGGCTTGGGATATTGGAGTGATGTTCCTCCTTTTTAATTTATTTTCTTTTACATTTATTGTGTTTTTAGTGTTGCGATCTTGGATACCACGCTAGTCTGAACAGGGCCCTAAGAACATACCTTTCTGCAGAGTATAACCTTGAAACTTCCAGGCATGAGGGCTTAGACATCATTGAAAATGCAGTTGACAGCTTGGAGCCACGAAGTGACAAGCAGAGATTCATGGAAATGTACCCCACCGCTTTTTGTCCACCAATGAAATTTGAGTTCCAGTCTCATATGGGTGATGAGGTCTGTATAGTGGCAAGTATCCCCACAGTGACTGTTTCTGTGTCTGTATACCAAGACAGAGAATTTATCCTCTTTTACAAAGAGTTTGGTGAAAGCTGTTATTGCTACCCAAAAGCAGGTGGATCAGCAATAACATTTTGCAAAAACTGGCAGTGCTGTTCTGAGCTTCTTCAGAGTTCTCAAGTAAAAACTAGTGTGTTATTATACTCTGTATTACCCATAATGACATTGCTGATTGCTGTGGATTTGCTGGCAAACCTCTGCTCAGCCCAGCACCAGTGTAAGTAGTAGCTTTATGTCTTCACTACCAGCCTCACCCATAACAGAGCTCGTGGGTGCTATTTGAGAGCAGCTGCAGAGCTGCTCCAAATTATGCGCGCTGAAATGCAGCCTTTTCACCTTCTTCCTCCCCCATTTTATCATCTGGAGATTTCAAGCGTACCGGGCACCCCAGCTGTGCCCTGTTCTGCTACGCCAAAGGCCAGTAGCAAAGCAGAATGCAGAATCACCCGTGTACATCTTTATTTGAAGGTAACTGCAGGATTTGCATTTCTGTGTGATAGAAAAGCAACACAAAGCAGTCGCACAACAAGGCTGTACTCTGTAGTCATAAGATGTGGTACGTAGTTCCACACCTTGTAACGCATAAATACTTTCAATTTAGATGGACACATTTCATTGTCTGCTTCATTAAGTTTTAATGGCTTTGGTTGGAATTCACCTAGTTTTAAGGAGAGCAACCAAAGACTATTGACTGTTTTTTTTCTTCCTTGCATCTTACAGCTCTTTTTGACTCTTTGTTAGGTTTGTCAGGTCACTGCCCAGCAACCTGTGCAAGCAGAGCTTATGCTTAGGTATCAGCAACTACAGTCGCGATTGGCCACACTCAAAATCGAAAATGAGGAGGTAAGATCTGTCTCTACGTGGGCTATGCATTGAACGCCATTTTCAGGAAGGCGCAGTGTTTTCTACCTTGTCAAAAGCATGTAAATGACCCTGAAATGGCTTCAATCTGTATGAGCTGTTCTAATTTTAAAAATCAAACACTGTCAAATATGCTAAGGTAGATCTTTGTCTGCTTTATAGAGGTTTGGAAACTTCATCTTTTACCGGTCCATACATTCACGTTACTGAGTTCTGTGTTTTGTAGATGCCTCAGTGAAAACTTGTTAGAGGACGTATTTTTAAAGTTTTGTGGCAGAAAGCTACTGAGCACAGTTATTGTCTTCTGTGACCACCCTCTGTCCGGTCCCCAAATTGCTACTTCTGAAGTACAAAGGAATTTGGACTGTCTTTTGTGGTAGCTGAGTCAAAATCTCTTGTGCTCTCAGCTACAGCTATTTATAAACACAAGTACTGAATGTCTGTGATGGGAATAGCTCACCTAGTAAAATAAAATGTGTTTTTTTGTAAAATACAGTAAAGCTATGCTGTTCTCTTTCCCCTGCTCTGGCAGCAGAGGGGGGCCTCCCAGTGGGTATAAATTGCGCTTTTATCCAATTTAAGGCAGTGTTAAAGGCCCTCAGTTTAAATGAGAATCTGTTCCTAAATTAAAACATAGGGATACTTTAATTTCTTGGTGTAGTTCTTTGATAAGTTTTCAGGATTCCTGTTTTTCTCATTCTATGTTATGTGCTGAATGCTTAGAACAAAGTATTAATGTCCATGAGACATGTACAGTAGTCTTTAAAAAATCCTACTTGATTTCAGAAAGTACCTCAAGGTAACAAAGACAAAAGGAAGGGGAAAGATTATTTCTTTCAGTAAAGTGAAGTGCGAGGGCATAGGGGGAGAAATCACGTTGGCAGGCACAAAAAGCATATTTGCCTACACCAGAGACATGTGTAGAAGTGTGCATGATTCAGTTAAGATGACTGTACTAGAGACTCTTCTGAAGCAGAACTTGGGAGGTAAATCACATCCTTGCGAATCCTGCCAGTTACTTTATTGCATTGCGGAAACACTGCATCCCCTGTTCCACGGCCCCCATGCCCTGGTTTCCACTATGAGCAACTGTGCTCTCCATAGCTCATAGGAAGTGCTGTGAGGCTGGTGTAAATTGTTCTTTCTCCAACCCCCTCCTCCAGCTGTGTATTCCACTTCTGCAGTCTGAACATCATTATGCTCTGCACCATAGCACTCCGCAGAACAGTGTCACAGATTTTTGTCTTGGAAACAACAACATGTTGTTCTGGCAGCCAGATCCTTGGATGTACACATTCAATCTAACACGTTGACCACATGTGGGAGAGTTGACCCTTCAGAGCAGTGGATCATCTCTATTGCCTGTTGTCCCAGCTTAGGGACCCTAATCAAATCATGTCGCATTTCGATTCTAATTTCAGGAAACAAATGCTTGAGAGTGCTATACAGACAACACAAGAGTACATCCATGTTTGTGGATTGTACCATGGTAAAGCAGAGAACTAGATAGGAAACCTAATCATGTCATTCTTATGTTACATATATCTATTATAGTACATCTAATTTTTCACCTTCACACACCAGTTTGTTTGAGGGAGCGTGCCAGAGAATTATTTTGAATAATGAGCTTCCCTTCTAAGCTGTTCTGGTATGTATTTATCTTCCCATTTGGTAAACTGTGCTTTTTAACACCAGGTTAAGAAAACAACAGAGGCTACCCTGCAGACAATACAAGATATGGTCACCATTGAAGACTATGATGTGTCAGAATGTTTCCAGCACAGTCGCTCGACGGAGTCTGTGAAGTCAACAGTCTCTGAGACATACCTGAGTAAGCCTAGCATTGCAAAAAGAAGAGCTAACCAGCAGGAAACGGAGCAATTCTATTTCATGGTATGTTGGTTGCTTCCTCATTCATGTGATACAGGCCAAACACCTGAAGTAAACATTATGCAGAAGTTCCTGGAATTTATGTGCCATACATACTAATAGATTGATCTGCATCTCTACAGAAATTCAGAGAATATCTGGAAGGTAGTAATCTCATCACAAAACTTCAAGCAAAACATGACTTGCTGCAGAGGACACTCGGAGAAGGTAAATATCACACAATAAACTGAAAAGTGATTCCAGACTGTGCAATGAACCCACTGAAATGCCAAAGGTATGCAGGAAAAAATTACAAAACTTAAAGCTTAATTGTCCAGTAAGCATAGGTTTGATTTTTACTGGTCATAGTTTTGGTGCAGTGGTAAGAGTACGCGCTATAAATTGATTTTATTTCTTCAACAGATACTTATTTCCACTGCACAGACCTTTAGACAAGTGACTATATTTGGAAACGAAACTGTTGAATGAAAAATCTGGTGTCTGAAAGGAGAGCTGACACAGTCAGTGCAGGGTGATTTAAGAGCCGTGACAAATGTACTGTTTCTACTTTCTAATGATTTCTGTTGACTTGAGGTTTCTTTAAGAGTTGGGGGAGAGTGATATTTTTTAAGCATACAAAATTATCCAGGATGCATCTCTTACAATGGACTCACTAGTGCAATATTTCTGACACATGGACATGAATGTCCTTCTTGCAGCTTAACAATTCAATGGAGCATTCATGAAAGGCAAAAGGTGAAATCCTGACCTCATAATGTCAGTAGTGAGACTCTTATCGACTTAATTTAATGTTGAGTTTCTACAAAGTATATGCGTATTGTGAACCGGAATGAATGAAAACTTAACGAATAGCTCTATACCTGTTGATTATAATTGTTGCATATAAAATTATTGCATTACAAAAAAAAATTATTGCACTACAAAGTATGATAGCAGAGAATTATCCGTTATCCTGAACACTCTCCACAATTTTTAAAAATATGCCTTAAAATATAAACCAAGTCAGCAGATGTCCATGATCAAATGAAATAAAGCTGAATTAGGGCAGTAATGAATCAGGCACTATGCACAGTTCCAGCCCACCTCTTACCAGCCCTCCCAACAGGCACTTCCTCATGGACCAGAGGGAAAAGGAGAATCACACTGCAAGCCTTGAGGACTAGCCACACAGAGTGTTACGGACTTGAGAGGAAGTGAATTACACCACAAAGAGTAAAAATCCTCTCCTGAAGGTTAAAGACTATAATTCAAAGTTCAGACTCAAGAAAGGAAACTTGTTCTCTAAAGAGTGTCTCTAAAGGATGTGTCAATTTATTTTCTTTTTACTGCCAAAAATCTGTTGTTAATCAGATCTCTTCTTGCTTTTAATAAAAAAGCCCAGATCCATAAATCCAGTTGTGGAGGTGCCTAAAGAGTTATTAACATTTCAGTGGCTATGACCCAAACAAAGCCCCTGACCAGGGAGTGACAGAGGTTGGGGGTAGGAAATAAACAGCGTTTTCTTGCAAGGCTGGACTGTAGAAGATGGTAGCTATTTTTAGACAACTAACTACATTATGTTCTTTCTCGTGGAAGTTTTCATTTAATGGAATTTTTTTTTTAATGTGTGCGTTGAGCAGTTTATTCACACAAAACAATATGCAGCTGATGTTAGTCAAAAAAAAGGAAAATTTTCCTCCAAAGGCTCACAGAAAATGTATTTGGAAAAATAAAGTGAATGTTTGTTATTTGAAGCCCAGTAAAATGCATGATCAGCTACTGAAGGGAGGAAGATAAAAGGCACCAGAATCTGTTGCCTAATGCATATTGGAAAGAAATAAGGAAAGAACTGTATGAAAGGAAATCCAAAGAAAAACTTCTCAGCAGGGTGACCTAAGCGGTAAATTGCCGTCAGGCTGTGGGCCGTTCTGCCATGCTCGGGCATGCTTGGACCGTTCTGTTTGAAGAGTTCCCTTCGACCCACCAGCTGTAACCCCAAGTAGTTAATCTGTGTTGCCGACAGTGTTTTTGCACATAGTTGTTGCATCGTCATAGGACAACACGTACAAATAGTACCCCAAACGTATACATCCACATTCAAAGCTAATACTTGGAGAAGAAGTCCTCATTCTTGCAGGTTAAAAAGTTCAAGTACCCCTTCTATTGAGGCATGTCCTGCATTACAATGCACATGCCTGGGAAGGAGGACCTGGATTCTGTACATTTCTTGAATGGAGATGGTTGAAAGGGTAGAATTACAGTGGAATTAAGAACATTATTGCTGTAGCTAGTATTGAATTTGTAGGAAGTGAACTGCTCCCCCGCTCCACTCAAGCTGCCTTTTCTGGCAGCTTTAATGTCAGCGACACAGCAGACAAATAATACAGGGTGCTGTATTAAGTAATGCAGAGTAGAATGGGGAAAGAGGGAGGGGACTGTCTCAACTGCAGGTTTTCCTTTGGCACCCTCTCTTGCTTTTATTCAAACCTGCACAGTGTAAGGATGTAGGCTGAATAAATCCAGATTCCCGTCTGGTGTCCACAACGTTGACAGCATTTGGCTTCTGTTCCAGTTCATCACCTACCTACTACAGTCTGTTGCTGTTTATGGACACAGCAGATACATATTCATGATCTGCACAAGGGAGATAGATTAAGTGCTCTGTGCTGAGTCTGCATCTACAAATTTGGAAAAGTAAATGAGAAATACTCAAATGAAATTGATACTAAACATAGGAAGCACACTGCCACTCATACTAATTCTGCCCAAGGCTCATCTATTGAATGAACAAATGAACAAAGCAAAGGCAATGCAAGAAAGAGAATAAGCAGTTGTAAAAGAAATTGCCCCTGTGTCCCAGATAGTTTTTGCCCTAATCTGTTAAATATCAAAGACGTGTTTAAAATCCCCCAGACTAGGGATTTGTAACATCTTTTGTTTTACTAGCATTTATTATTGGGATTCTTAGTCTCAGTGAACTTTCCTTGGTTACATGAGTAGGGAGAAATCCCTGTCTTACCCTTTTTCTGTCATCCTTTTTTTTACATACTCTTCTTTCATCCCTCTTTTTCACCTCTCTAATATAGATGCCAACAATCTTTACATGTCTTATTAATGCCAGATATTTTTCCCAGAGCTTATTCTTTGTGCCACCTTCTGCAGATCCCCACGTTTCTGGTACTGCAAAATACATTTTCAGATTAGGGTTTTCAATACTGTGCGGTATTTCAGGTGCACCTGGACATTGCCACATAATATTACGTTTTGCGTATCACTGTTTTGCGTTCTTTCTGCAGTCTAACAGGCTTTTTTGGTGTCACTTTCTAACTGAGTGATGTACTTAGACCTAACCCAAGTGATGCTCAGAGTGATTTTCAAAGTCAGTATAATTATCTGTTGTTCTGTTAGCTGCATAGGTGTTTAATTCTTTCTTCCCTAATATCTTACTTGAACCTGTCAATACTGAATTTCATTTGCCATCGTGTGTCTTGTTCCTTAACATGGAAGGAACTGGAAGCCTCTGAAGGGCTTCACAGTTTTGTCAGGACTTGATACAAAAGTATTTCAGTCATCTGCACAATATTCTGTCTCCTTAGCTGCTGTGATCTCCCCAAGACATTACTAAATGTATGATGTATTACGTAAATGGTCCTAATAGGAAGGCTTGAGTAAATGACTGTTACACTTTTGTCGTGATGAAAAAAGACCATTTAATTCCACTCAGTTTCCCTTTTCTTCATTAGTTTTTGATCAATGAGAGTATTCTGCCACTCAATCCATGGCTGTTTAGTTGCTTTATTCGCCTTTTGTGAAGAAACTTATCAGGGGCCTTTGAAAGTCTAAGTAAATTAATTCAACTGATTTTCCTTTATACAGTATTTTTCTGACATGTTCAAAGAATTCTAATAAATTAATAGGGCACAATCTCCCTTTGGGCAAAATAGGCTGATTAGAACTTATCATACCATGACCTTCCTACTGTTTTATTATTTTGCTTTTCATTATCACGAGTTGACACAATGCACATGCCTAACTTACTGTTGTTCTGAAGAGGTTATCCAGGAACCTTTCTGGAATACGGTATTTGCTTCTTTACAATTCTTTGCAGTCCTCTGTGGTGTTTCCCGGTGGTAGCGTTGTATTTTTTTCCCTGCAATACACAGACAAAAGAGAGGAAGGAGTCTTTCAATAGCAAGCCATCGGTGTCTAGAGCGCTGTATTTTCGGCACTCAACAGGTTTAGGCACAAGGCACAAGGGGAGATGTAATCTAATCTTGGCACAGCTCTATTTCCATACTGATTTAGCCACTAAAACACATGAGCACAAACAATTGACATTGTTTGGAGTTTTACTTCAAATGATTTACTGTATCAAGTGACTCTTTAATCTATGGGCAGGCTTCTTAAAAGTTGTTCCATAACATGAGTTGTGTTTGTATTTTAAATGTAACTGTGGAGATGGTAGATAACTGCACTGCACTTTTGTTGTATAATTGTATATCTTTTGCTGGTAACATGAAAGTTAGGGTTAAAAGTAATTTGCCAATTTAGATTTAAAAAATCTACCTAAAACCTACAAGTGATTGTTTCCTGTTTATTGAACTTTTCTAGGTCACAGGGCTGAATACATGACAACAAGGTAAGATATTTTTATTTGGCTTGATTTAGAGTTACAAATGTAACAAAATCATAGAAATTACAAATTTTAGAACAAGTTCATAAGGGTATATAACGCTGTTGTTGCTGTTGTTACATAAATTGTGTACAGGCCCTGTGTGTTTTAACATTCAGCGTTTCTGTTTCTGCACACTGATGGATAAAGGACCAGACTGTTCATCTTCCACTGTTCATCTTCCTCATTCTTGTGAGCTGCTTAGGCCAGTGTCAAGAGTGGGACAAGCTGGGAGATCCTTACAAATATTTGTGAATCACACATCAAATGTGGAAGTTGCAGGGGGGCTTTTTGGTGCTAGAGAAGAAATATTTTTCATTTGCTAGAGATACTTTGCCTCTCATGGTTTGTAATTCACTTGGTCAGGATACACAGTTTAGAAGAACCTGATACAGAGATGAATTTAGGGGATAGGCTGCATCTTTGGTAACCTAGCTCTGGACAGGAATACCTGCCTCCCCCAGCATCCATGTGTTTGATACTTAAATGGGTCTATATATTCACAGAGGAGAAGGGATACAGTGTTAGATCTACCTGCTTTGTGCAGCACATTCTTTTTCAGTTGTGTAATGCCACACCTGCGACGCTGCCTCCAGACATAAATGCAGACCAGCGCTGCAGCCCCCAGGGTATCAGGCTGTGGGGGCAATGGCAACTGTTTGGATTTGCAGCTGCCACTCGTGTGTATCACTGCTGCGGGCACCACCCTTCTCGTCCTGGTGACAGCAGGAACATCCAGCCCAGCTTTCCTGGTCTCACTCTTCCCTTCCCTTTCTATGCAATACATCCTTGCTCAATGCCTTCCCTTTCTCCTTTTTGCTTCCTGGACAGGAATGGCCTTGCCACCACCCCTCATCTTTGGATTTAAGGGAAAAAAAAAAAAGAGTCTTGCCCTCCCAGCTAAGAAGTTTAGATCCGGCTCTGGCTCTGCCTTTGCTGGACCACTTGGTTTTGTATAATTTCTTCTGCCTGGCCTCCATATTCCTGGGGACACCTCGACAGACTTCAGACGAGCCTTTCTCCCACCACTCCATGGTCCACTTTAGCTCTGTAAAGCGGGACTTATTCACCTTCTTTCCTTACACGACCCCAGTTGAAAAGCTGTAACAAATCAGAGCATTCTTCCCAATTGCTGTCATTAATTCTGAGACCTGTGTCTTTAACTTTAACTCTGCCCCCAGACGCTACCAGGAATGCATGGAAGTCAGCAAGCTTATGTCTAATGAGAAAAACGTTCTTTCTTGACTCCAAAGCAGGAGACTCATCAGGCTCACATCATCCTAAATTCCCTGCTGTGCAAGAAGCTGAAAGAAGATGATGGATTTAGGCAATGATTTTACCTTAGTAAAGTGGGAGAGCAGCTTGAAGCCATCTTACCTCCTATCTTCTCACAACTGGTTACTCTGAGGGAGTAGGGCCTGCCTGTCCGTTCCTCAGCACCAGTTCCCCTGCTTAGGCTGGGACATGCCTATTGCCCCAAGGTTCAGTTAAGTTTCCAGACTGTAAGACATGCAAACAGAAATGTTCTTCGAAGTCAAAGTTAAATTGTAGAAGGGAAGAGGATATCTTCAAAGATGAATTTAAAATAGCGGGTAGTACCCAAACAGACCAAAGTCCCACCACTTCATGTTCTATGCATTACTGTTCCTCACTGTTTCCCCCAAAACATTTGATTTTTTGCTGATTCCTGAAAAGCCTGTAGAAACGTTGGACTTCTGGTGCAGGGAAACTAGGGAAGCTGGTGGCATGTAGCATGCCCTGACATTCACAAAATAAATTATGACCTAGAGAACAACATCTATTTCCTGTAATCTCTTTCAGTTGTAGTCACCACCTGTGTAACACACTAGGTAAACATTTTGCAGACCAAAGTTTTGTATGTTCTTCCTTTTCTTTTTTTGCGCTATGCTGCTTTTGTTTATTTGTTTCAAGTTGATGATATTCTTTTAATTCCTTTAGCTAATTTGCAAGATGTTTCTTTTCTTGTGTGAAGATGTTGATGGTTGGATGTGGAAGGCTAAAGCTGTTTCACCTTCCCGGCTCTAATTGAAAATGCAGACGGTTTGGTTTTGAAGCATCTTAGGAGTGTGCTGAGCAGCTTTAATTTTCATTTGAAGCTTCTCCAGCATGAAGCAACTTTTCTGCTTGATAAGAGGTGCTTCAAGTGGCCTGTGTTCTGCCGCGGCTGGCAGGATGAATTCCAGTGGTTGCTGCACATTTCATGCATGACCGCAACAAAAAAGGCCATTCCAATTGTGCAGTGTTTGGAATAAATGTATATGGTAAAACTGCAAAGCAGGGATTCATAAAGAATGTCAATATTTATCCATAAGTAATGCATTTTTAATGGGGAAGTTCTCCACTCTTTAATCACTGTTACACTTAAATTTGTTGGAAAGTGTTTATTTGATAAGTACTGTGTTTATTTCTCCCTTTTCAGTGTTCTGTTGTTTTGCCATGAGCTTACCGACATTTCATTTTATTGTGTGACTTAATTCTGCCTTGCTCAGTAATCATATTCCCTTCCCTTAGGCCTCCAAATCTTCCCCCTAAGCCCCAGAAACACAGGAAGCACAGACCCCGATCACAGTATAGTGCTAAGTTGTTTAATGGTGATTTGGAGTCATTCATCAAGGTACTGGCACCAGCCACCCCAGTGGCTGATCTCAACACTTCTTACTATAATGGTCACCACCTCACGTGGGCTGAGGCAGATCATTATGTTTAAGTCTGTCCTGGGGCTCTTTTCTTCCCCGGTTGATCAATATAATATGATTCATCTCTCACGTTAGCCTCCCTACGATTTTGTTAATCAAGCAGGGATAGTATTGGCAGCCCGGTTTTGTTAGGAAACTTAGCATCACGTAGAAGATAGGGTGTAGTGGTGCATCCCGTGACTTAGCACAATTTCCTGCTTGCCATTTTCATTACATTCAGTATTCAAAGTCTGTGGAGAAGCAGTATTACCCTGGGTTTGATATCCAGCTTTTGATTTCCTATGACTTTAGGAATTTATTATATTGTGTGAAATTGTGATCACCGCTATTCTGGATCTTGTATCATCTTTGCTGTATTTACTATCTTCTTCTTTCTCATACTTTTATTTCTAATAATGCTTCTAGCCGAGGCCGAAGGAACTCTCACACGAGACATCAGGTATAGTTCTGGTGACAAGAGAACCATCTCTGCCTCTCTCTCGGGTTGCATTCACGCCTGGCTCAAAATTAGTTCTTTAAAAGACCTGGAGGGAGAAGTTTGCATTAAGAAATGAGTGTACGAGTACAGCAGGCAAAACTGAACCAGAGCACAACTCTGGAGTGATTGTAGTCTTAAATGATGGATATTTCCTTATTCATTAGCAAGTGCCTGCCCATCAGAGTCAATTAGTGCCTCTGGACAGTAGCTGACAGAGCTAAGGGAAAGAAATCTTAAAAAAATATGTAACAATACCTTTATAAACGCAGTGAATGAAATTCCCGACTGCAAGTTCTGTGAACTGAGTTTGAATGTTACAGGGATTTTTTTTTCTTCCTGTGCAACATAGCTAGCGGCAAATATTTTGCAGAACAAATTCTGTGCTCAGTGGCACCATACCAGTTTAGTTGTCTTTGAACCAAGCTTTCAGCCACCCTCAGTACAGCTATAGGGACAACTATTATTATTATGCAGGTGGTGCTGTGAGGTGCAAAGACTTTCAGGAAATCATCACATGATGCAAGAGATTAGTATCATGAACAGTTTCTTGCTCAAGGATGAAAGTAAGCAAAGAAGCAGAAACTCCCACAACAAAAAGCCCCTGGATCAGAGAAGCACAGAGCAAATCAGGAGAAATGGCATCCCGTCATTTTCCCTCACAGAGAAGAAGGTTATGCTGCATGGCAGTGTGGGTGACAGGGCTTACTTGCAACTGCAGAGTCCTACACAGTTAGCCTTTCAAAAGGAAGGAGGAAAAGAAAGCTGGTAGCCTTATGACAGATTTGCCAGTGTGGGAGCTAACCTAGGAAAGCATCCCTGCCCAAAGACCATGTCATTCCTGATAGGGATGAGTCATTTTGACAGGCACAAAAGGATTACAGCTAGTGAAATACAGTATCACACCAAATTGCTTTTTGTTACATTTTTGCATCATAAGAAATGATAATTAGTCCCAAACATATATTCACTGACTACACACATCAGATTAAATTCACAGCAGCAGTAGGGTCACCGTTCTTGACATTTCACCAACAGATTGTTACTTCAAATTATTTTCCTGTCATTAGATCCAAAATCCAAAGCTGTTAGTTTAGATTATTTCAGGGAATTACTTAACTACAAAGTTGTGTGTGGTTCTGAACAGATTCTCCAAAACCAGGTATGAAAGTAATTTACTTTTTTGTAATTTCTTACTGCAAACACTATCTTTTCCGAGGCTTTACATTCTTTGCATGAACCAGTGTACTAACAGGAGATACGGGTGCATGTTGTGCATGTTTTCTAATACTCTGCTTTTTTGGAGAGCCAGGCTGCTCAGTGTTGGTGAAGATGACAGTATTCCTGGGTTTAGCAACTGACCTGTTCCATGGTGGTTTTTTTATTCAGCTGTTACTGAATCATGACACAACTTAAACAAAAAATGCTCATCCAGACATTATTGGTTCTTGGCTAGCCAGTCTTTGCTAAGTTTTAAATTAAAAGACAAACAAGCAACATTTTAAACAGCATAATTAG